CCATAGGTGTCCCATAGCTCCTCCTTTTCCGCTTTTTCTTAAACTCTTCGGCTGTTTTTCCCTTCTGTTGCTGGTGTTTTGTTTTCGTGATGTACTTATTTTACAAACTTTAGGTATATTATGGAGAAAGATTTCGAAGAAATAATGCACACCATGGGACTGAATCTTTCCCGAGCGCAAATACAGAAGCTGGCGAAGAAGTATACGTCACGCGATCGAATTAACTATCGATACCTGACAGATAGTTGGGCTAATAAAGACGGCACAGTCACATACAAACCGGGTATGATTGATGATCCACCGACAACAGAGCAATTGCTCAAAGGTAAAATATACATGGTTTGAAGCTGAGGAAATATCTCAAAATTCTTCATTTTACGTTTCGTATAAAAAATTTGAAATGATCATTTAGTGTAACATGACGGCAGAACTGTGAGTAGTTTCCTATTCCAGATTTCGTTTAGTAAGCCGATGGTAGCATCCAGGTTGACCTTGGATGCCAGATTGTTGAATGCTTACTGAATACAGAAAGCAGAAAAGAATGAGGGGAGGGGGCAAGAATGAAATAAGACGTTTCTCTTCATTAAAGTCATATACGTCTTAATTCAACGCAAAAGATTTAAAAAAAATTTAAAGAAAGAATTTTTGGAAATGATTTAAAAGAAGGTCTAAAAAAGCAATAATAACGAACTTCGGTCATGGAGGTTCTGTTGCTGGGGGAATTATTCATAGTAAAATGCTTGTTAGTCGGCTCAAGTATAACTTTTCTCATCCCAATTTCCCGCCCTTTATTTCGCCGCTTCATTTCCGTCCGCAGTCCCCTCCCTCCACTTGTTGCCTCAAGGTTGCAGTATTCGCTACATGTTTATAATCGTGAAATTTGATTACTGCATCCCTCCCTGTCTTTCCGGAATTTCTACTTAGTATTAAGTCTTAATAGATATCTCATTGCACCTGCGACATACCAAAAAAAACCGCTAAGATGAATGCCCTATGAAAGACTTTTCGAAAAAAAAAAACCAGTCGGACAACGAGCGGACTAAAACAAACTGTAAAACTGTTATCTTTGGTCCATTTTGTTCATTTGCCTGTGGATAGCCAGGGCATTTTTAAGGAATTGTTCCGAAGGGGGAACCCATGGATGAGGAACCAGAAGTGACCGACGCTTCGGAAGTTGCCAAAACGGAAGGTTATGTTATGTATGCTGGATCTCTTATGAATATTTCACATGTTATGGAACAAGTGGCAAAGATGGAAGCGGATCGCAACGCAGCGCTGCAAAAAGTGGATGTACTGGAGGGTCAACTGAGTATGTTTTGCTTAAAAAATACTGCCCGCAGCGTTCTCCAATAGTGCTCTAATAATGTAGCTGACAACCATTCCATCCGCTTTGGTCTTGGGCTTTCCGCATCCACGGCATACTAGAAATTCGAGTTAACGAATCGGTTCAGGGCATCGGTGGCCTTCCAGCTGTTTTTCCGGCATATCAAATGCGATAGTTCTTCTTTTTTTTTTTTGATGTGCTTCATAACTGTTACAGAAGAAGGAGCGAAAACCACCCAGATTTTGGAAAAGAAGAAACGAAGACTGGATGAAGATGTTCAAAAGTATAGAAGTCGACTGCATGAAGCGGAAAAATGCCTCAAGGTACAGACTTTTTGCAGTTCCTCAAAATGACAATTGAGACGGGGATTGAAGGTTCTATATTCGAAAGTTGTGGCGGACATCCTGTGTCAAAAATTTAACTTTAACACACAACAGTTCACCTTTTTGCCCAGGATATACTTGGATTTTTGAACATTTTCTTATTTGCAGAACTCTGTGGATGATACCGTACAGATGAAGACTGCTATCCAAGAATTCCGTCGAATG